GGGCTGAGTTTCTGGGCTTAATTTGTTGAAGAGGAGAGTTCAAGGAGTAACTCTAGTTTGCCAATTATGGGCTGTGTCTTAACAAGTTACATCTGAAATGTGGGAGTCTTAAAACTGGGAACGATGACATCCAAATACAAACCCACGTTTAAACGTTTTAAGTTATGTTAAACTATTACTGAATCACAGATGAGCTGAGTCGCCTCCCTTCTGTGCTGAGAAAGCTACGTCTCTAGAACTGACTGTTTGAACCAGTTTCAAGAGGTTTCTAATCTTAAATAGTGATGCCCAGTTTTTCAACTCAAGTCTCAGCTTTTTTTAAAAAAAAAGATTTTAAGATTTTGGTCGAAAGAGCCCTCTCATGTCATTGGGAGTATTACACCTTTATAATAATTGGTCCGTTTAAAACATCTTCCTCTTGCGGTTCTTTGTACCCAGTGTACGGCAGCTTATTTCCCCCTTAGGTTTCTATTCTATATCACACGGCGCTGCGACAAATGCTGTCAAGTGCAGTGAGCGTATGTTTGTAGGCAAACATGGCAGCCAGTTTACAGACTGTCACGAAGCGAACGACCAGTTTTATCTGGAGGATTGTTGACCAGGGCACTGGGAAAAACACCTTTCTCTTTTCAAATAGTCTGATGAGATCTGTAACATGTCCCCGAATAGGCAGACGAGATCCCACACAATCAGAGGTAAAAGCAATTCAGAGTGAGTCCAGCAAATGTTTCTTTACACACGGCTGTAAGAATGTGCATTGCCCCAGAATGTAAGTACTGACGCTGAACATATTCAATGATAGAGTAAGAAATGGGACAATAAACTAGCAGAGCTGGTTACACCTGTTTCTCTGTCACTTACATGGGTTGTTTAGACTGTCTACGTGACCTGAATCCATCCGGCACAGTTCATTACACGTTTTAGAGTGATTTCGATCGGCGTTAGTTAGGTTATACTTTCACCCACTAGCTGTTGACCTGCATCTTCTATTCCAATTTGCGTGGTGTTATTTCCATAACTGAGCAAAGATCCAAAGAATTTTTTTTTTTTTTTTGGCACATCACCAGGAAATTTGGTTCATACCATTAGAAGTTAATTCTTTGACTTGTCCTGTGGTAGTCCAGGCAAATGTTCACCCTCGTTCAGTAATGCAAGGATGACAGAACGTGAACATTCATGCTTGCACCCTGCAAAAGCACTCCATTAATTAGTATTGTATATGGATATGAGTAGGCTCGATTTGCGCACGGTAGTACTTTAGCAGAATGGATAAACAATTTTAAAAGTTGAATAAGTAGTTCGAGACCTACTTTAAGTCATTAAATGAGGTTTATAAGTGCGTGTTTGGAATGCTGGCACCTGATGCTGGATTTCTGAATGTTTTATGTTGGGATTAAGCCAGTCACTAATTTACAACAAGTCATTCCTCAATTTCTTAGTCGTTACCATATTTGTTAAAATAAGAATACGGTTTTTAATGTTATTTGTGAATGAGTAATTTGTAAATTTGCTGCTGTTCTTGTTAGTAAAGTCACCTCTGTTTGTATAGGTGGGAACTGTGTGAAATCGATATATATATATATGAGCTTATAGCACAAAGAAGGTGTGTACAGGTTGTAAGGTGACTGTAGGCGTGGTAGTAAAATGACAATAGATCATGTGAATGCTCTGCAAAAACTTTCATGGAAATGAGAGGAGGGAAATATTAAAGTTCAGCTGCCACTGAACAAACTTGTGCAGTATGAAAACCAGTGAATAAACTCACTCGCGATCCACCTGGAATTTCGCTGTCGAACGTTGGCAGTTCCGGCTTTGCAGAGTGTGAAAATTAAATCTTGAAATAGTTCAGTGGTGATTCATAAGATCACGAGAGAAGTCAGTGTGAGAAATGTCCTTCCGCCTATTACATCATTGCAGACTCTCCAGCCTAACATCATCCAATTACGCCATCGACATCCAACAACTTCTCAAATGAACCCAACATCCAAGTCATTACCATGCTTACTGGTAATGCATTTCAGCTATTAATCACCCTCTATTTAAAGAAACACGCCTGGTGTCTGCTTTAAAATTGCCTTTCACAACCTTGAATCCCTGTTGTTTTTTCCTGCATGAGTTTTGAAAGCATCTTTCTTTCTTGTGGGTTTACTTTCTTTATCCCGTTTAACATCTTATATACCTTAGGCCTCCTTTGAGACATCTCTTTTCAAGGCTGAGGAACTGTTGCTTATCTACTTGCTCCTCACACTGTAGCTCACGTCTCTAACGGGTTGTCTTACAGCACAGCTGTTTTGTTTTTCCATCAATCTCAAGTAGTCTCAATCTCCAAAGAGAAAATTTGCTCATCTCCTTGGCTGCCATCCTTGGTCATTCTTAACATAAATACCAAATGGTTTGTTGAATGATCGCTGGGCATAATGGTCTTTTTCTTGTGATTTTTTTAAACATTCTTAATGCCCGGAAAGCATCCGTGATCTATGCATTTTGCCCCTGGGAAGCCCTGCTTTAATCCAGTTTGAAAGCCGCTCTAGAGTCTAAACAATAGTGACAAGGTAAAGCCTGTCACTGTGCAGAATTGCCAGCTTAATGTCAGAAATGAGCTGGCAGATATTAATGGTAAATGTTAAAAATGAGTTGGCGCTTCTCGGACTTAATGATGGATGTCATTATGCATTATATCATCATGTCAAGACAGAAGCACAAGGAATCTTCTCTCTGCTGTATTGGTGATTTATACATGACCACAACAGGGGACAAAAAATCTGTTTGTCCTTAAGTGTAGGAGGGATTGCTGTTATTGGAACCATTAGGAAGAATGGTTTAGTTATTTCTCTCCTGCAATGACTCAAATTATGCATTTCTCTGTCATGATTAAGTTCCAATGGTATCAACAAAAAGTCCTCTTAAAAATTTGAACATTTACTCATATGCTGTTCTTTTTCTTCCTCCACTCCTCTCCTGATTGAACTTTTTTATAATAATAATCCTTGCATTTGATACGGTGCCTTATCACATCTTCGAGACGTCTCAAAGCGCTTCAAGGAATATCCTGTAAAATGTAGTGACTGGATAATTTGTGGGTGAAACGAGGCAGCCAAATGAGCACAGCAGTTATCACACAAACAGTCGTGGATTGAGTGACCAAATTATTGAAGAGACATTGAAGAATGTGTGGAATATTTAAGCTCCAGTTACTTAAAATGTCTTCAGCGCACAGAAAGATCGCTCTATTAATCACACTCGCTTTGCAACTACACGCGGCTGTTCTGGTGTACTGGTCCTGACATTCCTGGAGCTTTATCATTTGAATTGAGCCGGGAAAATTAGGCACATTATCCGCAAAAATGTTAGGGTTAAAAGTTTAATGAATCAAATGATACTCATTGTCATAATAGCCCTTGCGTTTAATAACAGTAATAATCTTTGCATTTATTTATTCATTATTTATTTATTTAATTAATTATTTTTGGAAGGGATTAATACACCCAGAAAAGCAATCTGTTAATCGACTAACAACTGGATTCCTACTTACTGCTCGGCAAACAGAGGCGTGTGTGTGGAGTAAGGAAGCTTACCCAAGGTTTCGCCCTGACCTGCCCGGGAATCGAACCAGGGTCCTCTCGCTTGCGAGGCGAGTGCTCTAACCACTGAGCTACTGGAATCCTGTACACAATAGACTAAATTACCTCAATGTAAGGTTTTAGAATACCTTCATACCTATCCGTTATAATATTCCACTGAGCTTTATTGAACTCATTCTCAACAATGCATTGTCAGGAGTTTAGAGCAGAAATTGATGTAAGGAAGCAATCAGGTTGGAATATTTAAGTTGCTGGGAGATCAGAACACAACGGCTTTGATAAGAAAGATTTTGTTTGTGACTCTTCACCAAGATTAGATGCCAGTCTTCATCTATCCGCCGATTTTGTATAATCGGAGTTTAAACATGAATTGTTTAGGTGTTTTTAGATTCTGGTTTCTGAGCCTTGCAGTGCAATGTTTCGGGGTTGCATGTTTAACATACAGCAAAACAAACCGATAGATAGCGCCTTTCACCTCGGGAGGACGTGCGAAAGCACTTAGTGTTTGTGTGTACGTGATTGTTTGTGTGCGTGTAATATTTGTAGCAGTGTGCATTTTACTGCCGGGTAAACAGAGGAGTAAGGAAACTTTCCCAACGTTTCGCCCTGCCCGGGAATTGATCCTCTCGCTTGCGAGGCGAGTGCTCTAACCACTGAGCTACGGGACTCCACAGTGGCATTATTTCTTGTTGTTCACATTCCAGCAAAGAAAAAATAGTGCTACAGGTTCTGGTTCCTCCTCTGTGACTCACTGTTGTTTAGCCAAGAGGTTTGGCAGCTACCCTGCTCTTAAGCCTGTTGGTTCTCTAGTGTAACTCACTGACAGCTTCCAATCTGAGGCGTGAGAGAGACCAAGGCTGAATCCTCCCTCTCCACAGAGAAATCACTTGCCTTCACCTTCCTCGCATTTCTTGGGCTAAGGCAGAGAATTTGGCAAGTGGGAAATTATTGAATCCTACTTCACTTCCTCCAGATAACTTTCACACTTGTTCAATAAGGTTTGATTGTAAAAGTGCTTGAATATCGGGCGGGGGAGGGTGAATAAAAGCCATCTGGAGGGAAAAAAATTCAATTTAGTCTTCTTAACTTGCTAGTATTTTGCAAGTTAAATCGTATTTTGCCCACAAAATACACAGTCAAGCCACTTTATGGTATATTCTGTGAAGATGTCTCAATGACTTGACAAGGCACTATATCAAGTGCAAGGATTATTATTATTATTATTATTAGATTGTTTAAACAGGACATGTTTTAGTGAACAATTTACATATTTTTTTCGGAAATATTGTCACAAATGTTTGTAGCTTATAAATGTATCTTTGATCTGGCTGAGGGTTTACCATTCTAGCAACTGTCATGAACGGAGAAATATCTGGATTCTCTAACTTTCATCTCTTTTTTTTCCCCCTTGCAAGATGTGCGGTGATGTGCTGATTCTAGTCGTGTGGCATTGTGCGCGGAGGAAAGACGTTATTCCAAAAGTAAGGGCCTGGGTTCGGAACGACTGATGGGTAAATAGTAAATACGATTGATCTTATCCTGCTTTGTAAAGTTTTGAAGTGCAAATTATGTCACCAATGTGACTGCTACAATATTTATCTGAAGGTTTCCTCATGAGCCTTGGGGAGAAACAGTCAATCAGTTCTTAATTACTGGCGCCTGCAGAAAAACGCTGTCAGCGTGCACTTCACAAGCTCACTCGGTGTTACAATAGGACCGAACCAGGTTTTTTTATCCGTTAATATGTGCCGTTCGACAAGAACAGTTGCCTTGCTGGATTAAAATCCCTCTCGAAACAGTTTTGCAGTGATGAAACGCGCACGTACTCAATGGGTTAATTGTATCTGTTGATGGGGTTAGTGTTATCCAAATTATCATGATGTAAGATTGCAAGCGAGGACCTTGATCTTCGCTGGAGAAAGCATTAGGCTGCGGAATCTAATGCAGAGTCTCATTAAAGTAACTGTCAGGATTCCTGCGTTTGCCGTCTCCCGCGTTATTCTATAAGAAGCGACTGTCGCTTCTCCTGATCGTGCTGTAAAAGAGGCATTTACAAATAAATGAAAAACGTCACATTTGATCTGGCTCTTTAGAGCTTGCAGAGCATCAAGCTTCGTCACCAACTGCCACCGTTACTTTACATTTCAGGTTTTTCAACCTCCGACAGTCAACAGCTCCTGAGTGGGTTGGGTCCCTTTCGCTTGACCTAAGGTAAGATCCTTGACAATTGGCATTTTATTAAAATGTTGCAATCGTTTGCTTACCACTCCCAAACGTCAGGAGGCTGACACGAATGGTAGCCACTTAACCCAGTTAAAATGCGTGGGACATGAAAGCCCAGAGTATGTTGTTCTTTATTTTAAAAAAATCTACTTGTGAACCTGCATTTCATCTGAAAGTAAATAAAAATGCTGCTCCGGGTCATTAAATGTTATTATTATTGTTGTTAAATGTAACTGCTTGCCAAAGTAGAGAGTTTCCACTTTTGCCGGAACTGCACTTAGTCCATCAATCAATACCCATCAGATGACTGTGAACCTATGACATTAAATATTAGATGTGTGTTGGTGTTTATCCACTATAATGTATGAGGCAGTGTCTCAGAGAGTTTACAGTTGCCTTGTAAACAGTGTGTGTGTTCGTCCTATCCAGTTTTCAGACATGTGGCCGGTTAGGGACATTTCAAGGTACAAGTCAGACAGCCCAATGCCCCCAAAACTAATGTGGATCAAATGTTTGTGTTGCTCAGTACCAGACTGTTCCTATAATCCTTTGCATTGTTCTCGGTTCACACTTTCCTCTCCCTTTCTCCCCTTTTCGTGTGGTTGAAACGTGGATTGCAACAGCCTTGAAGACCTATTGAGAATGCTGGGTTGTGTGTTGCTTTGAGGGTGCAGCAAGCTGCAATAGCGGGTTGTAAGGTAAAATATTTAAAAAATTGATCATTAAAGGATTTGGGAAAAGGCAGGGCAGTGGGGCTAAATAGACAGCCGTTTCACACAGCTGGCAAAGACATGATAGGCCGAATGGCCTTCTCATGTGCTGCCCGATTCTGTGATGCAATGAATTTTTTTAGAAAGTGTATATTCTTGGTTAGGTCGAGTCTAACATTTTTGTTACTCAGTTGAATATTGAGTATTTCTGCTTTGTAGTTTCTATGGCAATGCAATTGTGCACCTACAATGTGCAGATATGCATCATCATTAACTTCAGACACTAAACATAATTAATGTGAACAAGTGCCACACAGTTATATTGCAGTTGGATTCTTTCAGGCCAACGTGAGTGGTGTTTGTACCGAATTACTCGCTTTTCTTGTCAAAATTATTACTGAGTTTAATGAAGACATATCTTCACTTTCACACTATGGCAACGATTGGCGATGCCAGTAAATAATTGTGTAGTGTCAAGTAATTCATGGAGACAAATTTATGATTGAAAATATTTGGAATACACACTTTCTCTGTACCATTGTGAGGTAGGGACAAAGGTAAATGTCATATCTTTTTCAGGCAGGTACGCTCAGGGCAATGTGATTGTATAATTATAACTTAGCTATCAATTGCAGCTGTGAAACTGACAACCGAAAAGCAATGAGTATAACTGAGCAGCTGAAGGAAAGAGCTCCAGTGTGTCAGAACGAAAGGTTGGTTGGAGCCAATAGGTTGGTATTCCCAATAGCCAGAGAATGAGACTCTCTTACGACAATCCAAGATTTGATTGATTTGCTGACTAATAAACAAACAGAATAATAAAATAATAATAATAATAATCATTGCATTTAATACAGCATCTTATCATGTCTTCGAGACATCTCAAAGTGCTTCATAGGATATACTGTAAAGTGAATTGACTGTATATTTTGTGGGCGAAACGTGACAGACAATTGTGTCCCTCAAATAGATGATAATACAGTAATGGGTTCCTTAATTTCTATAGTTGCATTTGTTTACACACACGTAGATAATTAATTAATTAAATTAATGGGAGTCTTGAATTGAATCTGAAAACAGTTTTATGTTACAAATGCTCAATTTACAAACTAAACAGCGTAGCTCTCAAAATAAAGTGAACATTAAAAGCTGACACCATCTTGACTGATAATCGTGGAGTGGAGAGTGCTGAAAGGTAAGTGTCCCTGTAAATAAAGCTGAGCCATGTGAAATATTGATCTCTGATAGGTATATTGATTTTTCTTGACAGCAAAACCTGTTAGAAATGTAATGATTGGTAAGTAGCCAAGTTTACACATTTTTAAAACCCGAAATGGTTAAAGCTATTAAGCTCCATAAATAGGCTTGCTCAGCTCTTCAATAGTTGCAAAGAGCGGCACAGGTTTAGGGAGTGAGAGTATCACGTGCACTTGTTCAATTGAATCATTTTTCAAACAAACCATTGTGTGTATGCTGTCGGAGAAAAGAAGTGCTTCTCAAGGACCAATGTGACTTGCTGGGCAGCTCCTGGTTTGCTGAACCCTTTATTTAATCTTTAATAGAGATGTATTGCAAGATTATATATAGATGTTTGTGGATGTGTGTGTATATGCATAATTTAAACTGGTCACACAAGCTCGCAGTAACCAAGACTGTGCGAAGTTAACTGATCTCATCCAGGGTGTGTGTGGGGGGAGGTATGTGTGTGGGTGTGTGGGGGTCATAGGGGGGTGTGTGGGGAAGGTATGTGTGTGGGTGTTATAGGGGTGTGTGTGTGTGGGTATGTGTGTGGGTGTGTGGGGGTTATAGGGTTGTGTGTGTGTGTGGGTGTGTGGAGGGTATAGGGGTGTGTGTGGGGGGTGGTATGTGTGTGGGTGTGTGGGGATGTGTGTGTGTGTGTCTGGGTGGGTGAAGGTGGACGGAATGGACAGAATCGGGCTCGGCTATGATATTCCCTTCTCTTCCTGCTCACTGTGCAAGTTGGCACATGTTGATGAAGTCCTTGGTTGGTGCTGTGAATCCGTCAGTTTGTCAGCAGATTGAGAGATGCATGTTTATTCGCATTTAAATGATATATTTGATTGAACTGAACAGTACGTTTCCGTATTATCATAGCAATGATAAATAAACTATATTGGGATGAGATTTTATTTGGGAAAAGACGAGGAAACAACCTCTCCATCACTACATTTATTAATAATAATAATCCTTCCGTTTACTGTAGAGCATTTCCACGGTGGGAGGATGTCTCAAAGTGCTTCACAGAATTTTCTGTAAAGTATAGTGACTGTACTCTGTAGGCGAACACAGCTGCCAATTTGCACCCAGTAAAATCCTCAGCAAGCAAACAGCTGTGGAGCGATTTGCACCCAGCAACGTCCCCACCCAGCAGGCAGCTGTGCAGTGAATGACCAATTTTGTGTGGGCGATTGTTGGCCAGGAAACCAATACATCTTCTAAAAAATGTCCTCCTCCTGCTTAAACGTTCTGTGGTAAGTTTGTGCTGTGAAATAGATTGAAACTAAATCGGGAGTGAAATATGATTTTGAGCACAAATTCAAGCTCCTCATTTGAACCATGTAATGAAGAGAGTCTGCTTACTATTGGATTTAGTGCTTCTGTGAAAGTTCCTTATGTGGGGGCTTTGGGACGGAATATTCAGATTTAAATAGTGTTTCGTTTCTAGATCATTACTTTGTAAAAATGTTTCTGCTGTTGCAAAATACAGTTGATTTGGCCGTACAGTTCTCAATCATATGTTGTAAAGTGTTTAATTCAAGATGTGAATTTAAATTGTGTGGTTCAGCCCAAGCAGAATGTATTAACACATATAGCACTCAACTTCCATTTACCCCAAACCTTCAAAGCAAGATGAGTAGCTATTAGAGACTCACTCCGTGCAAAGTGCCTCATCTGTTAGGATCAGTGAGGATGCTCGTGATGTACGGTCTCATTCAAAGTTGAAGTGGGCTGCAGCTGTTTGTGTGATAAGGGACAGATGAGCTCATCCGTGGAGGGTTTACAACATGCTCCTAATTTGGTTAGGTTTGAACATATTTGTGTATTGTGCAAATATGAATCAAATTGTGTGTGTGTGTTCACACGTGTGTGTGTTCGCACATGTGTGTGTGTTTGCACCTGCCCGCTTTCAAAACTAGTTGCTGAATGATAATCCCAGTATAACCCTTTCGTTTGACAAAGTGCCTTATCTCATCGTTGGGGCGTCTCAAAACGCATCACAGAATATACTATAAAGTGTAGTGACTGTGTATTGTGCGAATGAAAAGCAGCAACCAGTTGCGCACAGCAGGGTCCCACAGCTGTGGATTGAATGAACAGACTTTTGTTGATTTTTTTTTGCCGTGATGGATTATTACTCCCGGAAAGGGATCCCGCCAATTGACTAACAACCAGGTTGCTACTTATTGCTAGTTAAAAGAGATGTGGTTTGTGTTGAACACGTGTGGATATTGTGCAAATGGAATCAGATTTTATGTTATGTGCTCGCACGGTGGCTGAATGACATACAACAGTGGCCAAGAGTTGTGTGTGCAATCATTTCCAATATTATCTTTTTGGGTTTAAAAACAAACACAAGACTTGTATCTCCAGTGAAGACTTGCTGACACACGCCTGAGCGGTTATTCTCTTGAAAGCTTTCATGATGACCAGTTCAGAAGGTGTTAAGTCGAGCTGGACTTTCTCTGTTTGTTTTCCGTCACTTTTAACATGTGGACTTCAGCTCCGCTAGTGGCCGTAAAGAAATGGGCTGCCTCCTCAAATTGACTGGCAACTTTCAAGCCTGTCCTGAAATCCAAATATGTGATTTGAGAGGCATTTTAACTCAAAGATCTGTTATTAAATTGTAATGTTTGTTTAAACTAGTTTGTTTAAACTCCAGGCCCTGTATTTTTCATTTTGTTACGGTAATCCCAAATTGCTCGGTTGTAAGTGCCATAAACCACTCTATACATAACGTATCTTTAGCTCTCGAACGTGTGGATTAGTGGGGGCACTCTATCTCCTTTTCAGACTCTGTATTAAATTTCATGCCGTGAGTTTCTTGCTTAGCATTTTATAGCATTAGTTTGGTTGCAGTTTTCGGTTTCAGTGGATATAAAGTAATTTGTTCCGCCGCGGCACAGATTAGGTTGCAGTTTTAATCAGCTAAACCAGATCTGCTCAGTTGCCTGCAGTGTGATTAAGTAACACACCAAGATGCAGGTAGTGGCACTGTACAGCACTGCAGCAGACCTTTATCGAGCCTAGCGTGACAAA